CTAAACCCTAATATGAAAAGAGTAATATTTTAATTACCCAAATATGTTTTATGAATCCAAAATTTTAAATATTTCAAAGGAATTTTGATGTGCAAAAACATTTGAAATCAGAAATAGGGTTGAAATTCACAGTTTCCATATGTAATTTATATATGTATTTTTTGTAGTAGGAGGAAAATTCTAATTCACATGAATAATAATTTCAAATTGAAAGTTGTGCTTTAATAATTAGCTCACTTAGCAATATTAGAATAACCATTTTTCAGCCACAATTCAATCACTTTCAAGATCTTCACTATCTGCTTTCCTTCCTTAGCTACAATAGAGTAACTCAGCAAGCAGAAAAAACTATAAATCTATAGAAAGATGCCATGATCAGAATATGCACTGAGTAAACATGCATGATCCTCTGCAGGAATTTAATTAACAGAATTCTCACAGGTTTTCCAGTTCAATTATACAAGTATTATTGAGCACCTGCTTTATGACAAGCACTAAGCACTGGCAAATCTGCCCTTGTTCAACTTACAGCCATTAAACAAGCAATTGCCAAGGGGTAACTAATGTGGAAAAAGCATGGGTTCTTTGAGAGACCAAATTTGGTCTAGGATTTCAGAATGGCCCTCTAAAACAAGTGAGACCTGAAAAATGGGTGGGTCATGGGAGTCAGCAAGATAAGTGGGTCATGGGGTGAGGATAGACAGGAAATCTTTTCAACAGAGGAAAAGGCTTAAGCAGGAGAAAGAGCATAGAAATTCATGGAAATTAATAAAACATACATTCTAACAGGGAATGATTTAAAAAATTAAATATGTCCTGTGTCAGACTTTGTGAAATCCCTTAGAGAGGGAAGTATAATATGGAATATTGTGGTGAGGTGCAACAGGAGTAGCACTTTTAAAAAGGGAATCAGGGAAGGCTTCATTGATACAGTGACATGTGAACAAAGACCTGTTGTAAGGGAGCGAGCAGACTATGCAGATACCTCGGTAAGCACAAGTGTTAAAAAGGTCCTGTGGCAGGAGCCAACGTTGGTTGTCCAAGATTCTGAAGGACAGGGTGAGTGGAGTGGAGTACCTGAAGGAAAAAGAGGTAGGAGATAAAAAGCAGGGTCATAGAATGGGTGGGGAGCAAAATTGTGCAATGCCTGGTAGCTATTTATCAGGGCAACAACTTTTACTCCAGGAGGAATGGAAAACCATTGGAAGGCTCGGAGGCTAGCCGTGTTACATATATTTTAAAGAGATCATCAACTGCTAGGTTGAGAATAGACTGTAGCAGGGCAAAGCCTTAACCAAAAGGGTCTGGAAGATGAGTATTTTCATCTGATGTGCTTGGGAAGATAAGCAGGGCCAACTCTCAGGTGACCTTGTAATCCACAGTAAATATTTTAAACTTTAACATAAAAATGGTGGGCAGTCATCAAGGTTTTTAAAACGGAACAATGTAATGATCAGATTTCGGTGTTTAAAACTGTGCTATCCAAGATGGTAGCCACTAGCCATGTGAGGTTATTAGGCAGTTGAAATGTGGCTAGTTTGAATTGAGACGTGCTGTGAGTGTAAAGGATTTCAAACCTATTGTAACCTATAGGATTTCAAATACTTAGAACAAAAAATAACAAAAAAAGAAATGTAAAATATTCTAATGCTTGATTAAATGTTGAAATCATAATATTTTGGATATATTGGCTTAAAGAAAATATATTTACAAAATTTAAAATTGTGTATATGTGGCACTTTATATTAGAGTAGGTTTAGAAGATTGCTCTGTCTGCAGAAGTATTAAAGGGGATAAGAGTAAATGCCAAGAGGGCAGTTAGCAGGCCATTCTCAGGAAGAGTTTGAATATCACTAACCTATTCCAAGTATCCAAGGATCTTAGGAGATGTTATAAGCATTCTGAGAAGACTCTAAAAGGAAGTGGCAACTTAGCTGAAAACACTTCAGATGAAAAATTATTTAAGTTATTGTTTTAGTTACCGAAGAACATAAATAAAAGGTAGCAATGTTTTGCTGCACAAAATTAAGTTATAAGCAGGCTACTTTATATAAACTGTGTAGTTCAATAGAAAACAATTATTTTATTGGCTATATATACATATTTAAGTTGGATTTATTGAGTATGTTATGATATATTATCTTGTAGTTATGGTACTGTGTCAAGATTAAACATAGTAATTATGTACTTTTTAAAGAATATTTTAATTATGAAAATAATACAAATCACTGCAGAAAAGTTAGGTAATACAGATAAGCACAAATAAAACAATGTATAAATCACCTCTATTACTGTCCCCACCCTCGACGCTTTGTGTGTCTGGTTCCTTCATGGCCCATCTTTCCCTCTCAGTGAAGGGATGAGGCTCCAGAAATGCAAAAGGGGCAGTGGGTGATTAGCAGGGGAGCCACGACCACCAGTGTTGGAGATACCATGGTGTCCATCCCAGACACCCTGGCCAGTGCAGCCATTCCCAGCCACAGTGACTGCTGGCTGCAGCTAGGGGCTCTCAGCACCCAGCTCCCCAGAGATTTAGCCTCAGCCTAATGAGAGCTGCCCTCTCACCAGGAAATAACACCCACGGTTATGGACTGAATTGTGTCCTCTCTCAAAATTCATAGGTTGAAATCCTTAACCCCAATGTCAGAGTATCTGGAGATGGAGCCTTTGGGAAGTAACCATGTTTAGATGAGGTCATGAAGGTGGGGCCCTCATGACGGAATTAGTGCCTTATAAGAAAAGACACTAGAGAGCTCACTCACACTCTCTCTCTCCATCATGTGAGGACACTGTGAGAAGACAGCCATCTATAAGCCAGGAAGAGGGCCCTCTTGGGAGCACCTTGATCTTCAACTTCCCAGCCTTCGGAACTGTGAGAAATAAATTCCTGTTGGTTAAGCCACCCAGTCTATGGTATTTTTTTTTT